AACCTGAGGCGGCAGAACTACGAGAGGTACCCATAGAAGACGCCGAAGTAATACCGGTCGGAGAACCGAAGAAGAAAAGGCGCGGGGACCGACATCGACGAAAAAAGAAGAATTCGAAACGGGAAAATTGTGGACCCCAGAATAAATTGGCCGTCGTCAGCAGGAAGGGGTCCCGCTCTGCAAGAGTGGCATGGCGCAAGAGGAACATCTTCAGGAAATCTTGGACCCGAGGAGATCCCGCGTCCCGGATAAAGTTGGCTGCCATCTGCAGGAAGACATCCCGTCGCGCGACAGTGGCACGACGTTGGAGAAATGACTTCAAGAAGGAAACTCCCCAGGGAACCTTCGGATGCCGGAGAGAGGACTTGGCGCCACGGTATCGTGGCAGCAAGCGGCTGGGAGACCAGGAGGAACAACGACGTTATCGAGTGCAAACAACGCATCAAGAGCTGTTACGTCGAAATGAGGAACCTCCGAAGACAAACTTGATCAATTATACTAATGTATATGTAAAAGTGTAAACATTAAGAACACTGCAAATGAATGGAGAATGACCACGACAAATGACAGGCCCATCATATTGTCAGAGAGGATGCTCATTATTGACAAAATCAAATCGTAACTGTCTAACAGTAACTACGATCTGGTCGTGGGCTCCAGAGGGTAATAGACAAAAAGATGGACTGACCAAATGACCATCGGTCGCCATGTGAATCTGACTTTGACGTAATCTGCTAACGACCAGTGAAGACTATCACAAACTGAGAATATCTAGTGCGTGCCGTACTTATTTGTAGAGTATGTAAATTGGTGAGATTATTATAATCATTTGTAGTTACAAGTAATGATTGTTCATTAAATCCAATAATGAGCCCAAACCCCGTATCTGTTCATTAACGCGTGGCAATTCGTTACTTACTGTGAGGTTCAGCTATGAAGATTAGAACGACTGCCACCACAGCTGCGAGGTACGGAATAATTTCAATCCCAATTTCCATTTTCTTCTCTAAATTTCTCTGAAACAATGTATGGAAGGAAACTGATTCATCTTTCATTGCCGGGCAACAAATCGATATTCTTACGTCATTTCACATTCAGTATGTTGAATTGTGTTGTTAATAGGTTATCTCAAAAATTGTTTTCCATTTATAGCTCACTTTTGAGGCAGTTGCAGAAATGGCCATTACTGTCTCCATACATGACTACCCGAGAACCGTATAAAGAAATGTAAATATATTTTATATCCGCCAGCTTCACGAAGACACGTCATCAACCACTGACAAATAGTGAAGATAATTTGGAAATGATATTAACAAATAAAAATTACATTCACGCAATATTTAAGAGCAGATTAAATTCGAAGAATATTTCTGGAATACATATATTAAAAACAGTATTGGAACAGAGTTATTTTCAAATTGACCAAAATCACTACAAACAAACAGATGGTCTAGCTATGGGAGCCCCAACATCGGCAATAATAGCAGAAACATATATACGATATATAGAACACACACAAATATTTCCCATTCTAGTAAAACAACAAATAGTGGCTTACTTTAGATATGTTGATGACATATTAATAATACACGTATATGATGAAAAAATAATGAACATAGAACATACACTCAAAGAAATTAACGAATTGCAACCAACTATAAAGTTCACAATTGAAAGAGAACAACAAGAATCTATTAACTTTCTAGATATAACAATACATCGTAATGAAGATAGCTTGCAATTCGAAATATATAGAAAACCCACACAAACAGACATCATAATACCTAACAGCTCGTGCCATCCATTCAAGCACAAATTGTCAGGTATTAATTACTTAATGAATAGACTCCACACATACCCAATAACAGAAAAAGGAAAACAAATAGAGAAGAACACTATTA